TTTTTTTTAATTATAGGTTTCATTTGCGAGCATACTGACATAATTTGACCATCAAGGTTATTGATACTTTTCATACATTTATGACTATCCTACATATTTATTGATTTACTATGTACATGCTATTGTACCAAAAATAAAACAATATAGTTTTTGTTTTCAACTTGTTTTCCTCCTGTTCATTCAAGGTTTTTGGACATGTAGATTGCTATAAATATGGTATGTATATCCTTTTTCAAACTATCTGTCTCAGGTAAGTATCTATACTGTTATTTTCAAGAAAACGCTAAATAATGGCTGTCATATCAATCTATTGTACCAGTTTCTGAAACTATATCACAAATGCTTCTTTTTTATGGTTGAAATTTGCGTTTGGGGTCACAAATTTTATGTCCAGGCACAAATGAAAAAAAAGATCTTTTGGCTAAGCCGTGTGATATTCACAAATCTTATATGTTTTCTCTAGTTGACATTTTACAAGAAATCGACCATTACTTAAAAGATGTTCATTATATGGACTTGCAAAAAGCAAAAAAAAAACTATTTAATTTTTCAATCGTTGTTAAAGGTAAAAGTTTGTAGTAACCAGTAACCGGTAAGGGACCGTTCAAGTTTTTTGTCAGCAAAAGTAAGCAAAGCCCTTCCCCCCTCCCCCCATGCTTACGTAAACATTTGTCAATTATTAATGTATTGTTTTTTTTAATCTTTTAATTATAGCGTTATAATTATAATTTGAAAAATAAGAAAATAGATTTAGGATAGAGATTATATTTTACTGATACGGTATTTAACATAGAGTAAAGTACAAAAATATTATATCTTACTAACATAACAAACTTATTTTAAATTTTTGGTACATATATTAAATTCAAATTAACAGTCTTCAGTCCATGAAACCCGAATTCATGGTTCTAAGTTTTCGATGACATTGGATTGCTTCGATTGCTGCTCAGTGTTGTGAGTTTGCTCGCTTTCATCGGATTTTGGAATGTCTACGTCGTTCTCATCGAGCAATTCAACATGATGGTGCTCTAAATTTTGAATAATACACATCAGTTCATTAGCACGACGAGCAGCGACTCTTACAGGTCTAACTTTCCTATCAGTGTGCGTGTTAATTTTTTATGGATATTTTCGATGTGACGATTTAGTGACTTGACGGAAGCATGATAAAGACCACACGTTTTGCATGTTCGACTTGATAGCCTCAATTTTACCGTCGGTTAAAAACAATCGTAGGGCATTTGCAGGAAATCTTTGAGTGAAGCACTTCAGCGTATAGCTAAATTGACTGGAAGATTAATAAATTGCCCTCCTTCATCCAAAACCACGTCATCAACTGTTTGCTTTACTTTTACAGGTGGTGGAAGAAACCTATTGTCTAGTAATCTAAATAGGCCACTTCTTGGACGACAGCATTCTGTATATCACAAAATACAGGGTGTTAGTTTTCTGTATATATGTATAAAACTAACATACTGTACTTTGTGACCAATTGACGGAATCAATCATAAGAAATAAATCTATAATATATATATACAGGGTTATCCAAATTAAGTGTCCACCATTAGTAACTTTGTTATTAGTGAAAATACAAAGTTGTTTGAATTAGCAAACTAGTAGCATTTTTAACGCTGGTAAAAATGAGAAATAAAAAAAAACAATTGAGAGTCGTTATTTTGATTTTTTTCAGTAAAATAACATTTTTTTAAATGGAAACCCCTGTATATTATATTTTTTTCTGTTAAAGCATCAAATTTTAAACAAAAAAGCTTACAATAACTTTTCTCCTAGGTTACAAATTGTTGAAGTTATGGCCTCCAATCTGAAACAATTAAATTGTATCGACAAACTTTATTTTCAACATCAACTTATAATCTTACAAAATACAATAACAATTTTTTTTAAAGAAGATGCTCGAAAACACCACCTTGTTCTTCAATACATTTTTGGGCACGTTTTTCAACTGCTCGAACTGTCTTAAGTATGGTCCTACCATCTATCTGGGTTATCTTTTCCCTAACTGCAGTCTTTAACGCGTCAAGGTTATCGTACCTTCGCTTGTAAATTTGGTTCTTTAAGTAACCCCACAAGAAGTAATCAAGTGGGTTTAGATCTGGTGATCTGGGAGGCCACTGTATTGGGCCATTTGTTCCTATCCACTGATCATTAAAAGTAGTACTTAGAAAATGATAAGTACCTCTGGAGTTGTGGGCAGGTGCGCCATCTTGCTGAAAATGCAGATGATGTCTACTTATAAGATCCAATTCGTCTAAGAAATTAGTCAGAATTTCTGACATAAATTCCACATATCTTTCACCAGTTAGGGTTCCCTCATAAAAGAACGGGCCAACAATTTTTGAACCAATTATACTGCACCAAACGTTGAAACTGAAACGGACTTGTGGGCCTCTTGGATGTACTAACAAAAGATTTTCTCTTGACCAATAATGGTGGTTTTTTCTATTAAACATTCCAGAATTTGAGAAATTTGATTCATCTGTCCATAAAAGGTAACGAAAGTTATTTACATTTTGGCGAGAGAAGCTAAGATACCAATGGCAAAAAACAAGTCTTCTCTCTGGATCCCCTGCCAAAAGCGTTTGAACTGGTCGGTACTTATACGGAATAAATTTGTATTTTTTTAAAATCCTTTGAACAGTACCACAACTGAAATTAGAGTCCTTGAGAATATCTGCTATTGAATTCTCACGATAAGCTTCAAAATATCCAATGACTGCAATTTCCGTGGCCTCGCTTATTATGAATTCTTTTTTTGCCCTTGTTTTAGCAAAAACATTTTCGTTGCCCCTAAATTTTCGATAAAGTCTCAGAAAATATCGTTCATACGGTTGAATGCGAGCGGGATATAATTCACTGTAGTATTCTCTTGCTCTCGAGGAGGATTTTCTGCACACTAAATAGCATTCTAACATATCATACTTTTCTTCATGGGAGAACATTTTTCTTTAAATTAATGACACAATAAAGCTTATAAACAAGTATTTACACTAATGTTTGACATTATTTGATTTTATCATTGTTTTCCAAAGCCTTCTAGTTGCGAGTATGTCCAGTTTAACAATTTGTCGCTTATCTTAATGCTGTCAAATCGCGAACGCCATGTTGTTTTCATAGCCGTCTTAATATTATAATACTGCAAATAATTAAAAATATTTATCGTTATTTTGACTTTATTTTTGACTTTAGCGGAAAAGTCATTATGAACTTTTTTGTTTAAAATTTGATGCTTTAACAGAAAAAAATATAATATACAGGGGTTTCCATTTAAAAAAATGTTATTTTACTGAAAAAAATCAAAATAACGACTCTCAATTGTTTTTTTTTATTTCTCATTTTTACCAGCGTTAAAAATGCTACTAGTTTGCTAATTCAAACAACTTTGTATTTTCACTAATAACAAAGTTACTAATGGTGGACACTTAATTTGGATAACCCTGTATATATATATATACTTTGAGATAGGCCATAATATTTTCTAATCAGTAAAGAGAAACTTTTTGGCGATTTCTAATATTTCTAGTACTCATAGGTACGTAAAATGATTTCGTCACTCACCTTAGAAAAAAAATTTGGTGGATTGGATTTATTCTTAGTCGCCGCTTTCAATTCTTCTTCGATTCTCTTAGTTACAATAATATCTAGTTCCTTGTCGGATTTTGCTTGTAATTTGTAATTTCGCCACACTTCATTAACTAACTTTTGTACATTTTGTACTTTCGTATGTGATTTTTTAAAACTTTCAAACAATTTTTGGTATAACTTGGATTTGTCTATGTGAAACGACATCTTATTTAAACATTAAACCTTGGCTAATGGAATCAATGGTAACACAAATGTTAACTTGCTTTACTATGCTTACAATACGTCTACTCGCTATAGTATCCAAACGAAACAATACACTGATAGAGAAAATTTAGACAAGTGAACACCGCGCGGTAATTCCCCTACTCGGTTCTAAAGCGAGTAGGGGAATTACCGCGCGTTGATGACTAAGCGTATGCATTATTTGCGGGAATCCCCGAAAATGCGTTTCGTTTTCAAGCAAAGACAAGGTGAGGGTTGCCATTCGTGTAGAAAAGTAAATAACTACCGATTACGTAATCATCATCTAGACTCCCCTACCCCCATGTCATCCAAAATAAGCAAAGCAGACCCCCCCATAGTGCTCACGTAATACTTAAACGGCCCCTAAATACCTATTTTGGGTGAGAACCATATGTAAATGATGCACCTGTATTTTAGGCCACGTAAAAAGACCAAAAAGCACAACAAAAACAACATCTCAAACCGAGAAAACGCTAAAGCAGAATTCACATTAGAAGAAAGCTCAAAACCGTGTACGTTTTGTGGAAAATTATTTAAGGGCAGCAGAAGTTTGAAAAAGCACCTGGTGTCTCACAGTGAAAACAGACCATATCCATGTACAAAATGCGAAAGGAAATTCAAGCTTAAACACCAGCTGACCAATCATGAAAGGGTGCACAAAGATGACGTATGGTACGAATGCGACTTTTGTACTAAAAAACTCAAGTCCAAAGCATATTGGGCTGTCCACAGAAAGAGGCATACTAAGGAGTATATTGCTAAATGTGAGGTGGGTGTCAAGCCTTTCAGGCTTCAACTTTAGTAGCCTTAGTAAATTTAACAATAGAGCCAAAGAAAACAGATTTGATCATTTTTAGGTTTGCGGTCAAGGTTTTGTGACCATCCAAGAATACAACCATCACGTGGGCGCGAAACACGGTAAAACAACTTACATCTGTTACATTTGCGGTCGCAGTTGCTACGACAAAGCCGTGCTGCAGAATCATTTGGAAACTCACGACGAAGACTACGGTAAAAACAAGCAGATCAAGTGCGAGCACTGCGACAAAACCTTCACCAGGATGAAATATCTCAAAGGCCATATCATAAGAGTTCACAAGGATGGCGGAGAACGATTCGTGTGCGATCATTGCGGCAAAGAAGTCCATTCCAAGACGAGCCTCAGAGACCACTTGTTGATCCACCAAGGAGTGAAACCTTTGCAATGTCCTGAATGCGACAAGTGTTTCACGATACGCAGCACATTGAAAACGCATCTGCGCACACATACCGGAGATAGACCGTATGAATGCAAGGAGTGCGGCAAGGCGTTTACGCAGAGGTCACCTTTGATTATTCACATGCGGTACCACACCGGAGAAAGGCCATATCAGTGCAGTTTTTGTCAGAAGAGCTTTGTTAGCAAAGCGGTGTTGAATCTGCATCAGAAGAAGGCTCATATTGTTGCGTAGCTAGTTTGTATTTAATATATTTTGTATTTTTTGTTTTTGACAGTTTTATTACCATACCCTTCATTTTCTTGTGCCTTACGAATTAATGCCTATCACTAGAAGCGTATTCCTTCGTATTGTTGAGCGTGTAAGTCCTGAAGAAGTAGCTAGCCCACCAGTGCTTTGGGTGTTGTCAGGTGCTACGTGTCCCAAAGGCTATTTCTGCGGCTTCATTTCTAACTGGTCGATTACGGCGAATAATAGACACAGATCCAGTTTCTTCAACTTCCATACTTATCGTTGATATTTTTGTCTGGATATAACGCATTGAACAACTTGGCAGTAGCTAGTGCAATGCTCCCATTTTGGTTTTACAGTTTTGTTATTTCTACCCTTTCTTTTATTGAATAAGTCATTGTTTAATACACAGAGTGTCCCAAAAAAAGTGTGCAATATTCTACCAGCAGTTTCTAGAGCTTGACTTAGGAAGAAAAGCTTATATAAACATAGGTCGACAAACGTCCCCTAAGGGCGCTACCGTCTTTTAAAGGGAGATGGTTTTTCCTTAATATTTCCGAAACGTGTTGAGATAAAGACATAAAATTTTGTATTCTAGCCTAGTTTTTATGCTGGATTTAAAAATATTAACAATTTTAGACAGATTTGTTTGGAAGCGTCTGTAACAGGGACGGACTCAGGTTATTTTAGCCCCAAAATTATTGTGTGATTCTATTTTTGAAATTCAATTTTAGAATTTGGAAATTTAGGGTTTTCTACAAGATTGGGATCTCTGCATGATCTCTCGGGGGGGGAACACTACTTCCGAGGAAGATACTCTGAGGCTTCTGATGGATACGCACTTTCCCGGTTCCACAGTAGCGCGATCAATCACAGAGTGTATGCAGTTGCGCAGGCCCTCAAGGGAGGACTGGCGCACGGCAAGGGAGATTCTCACCTTCGAAAGGACGGTATGGGCAGTAGATTCGTTTGCCCCATACAAAAGTCCAGGTCTGGACGGCGTATTTCCGGCCATGTTACAGCAGGGACGGATTTCGGTTGTTCCTTACCTGTTGAAGGTGTTTCGAGCATGTGTGGCCACGGGCTTCACACCTAGAAGCTGGCGGCAGGCTAAAGTGGTATTCATTCCTAAACCGGGCAGATATAGATATACTGGCCCGAAGGATTTTCGACCGATTACTCTTTCATCTTTTGTGCTTAAGACCCTGGAAAGGATAGTTGATAGATACCTAAGGGATGGCCCACTGGAAAGGTGTGTCATTCATGCAAATCAGTTTGCATACCAAGCTGGAAAATCGACTGATCTGGCCTTACACAATCTGGTCGGGAGGCTGGAGAAGACTCTAGATCAGCGAGAAGTGGCACTCTTGGCCTTCTTGGATATTGAAGGTGCATTTAATTGCACCACAACCGACTCTATCAGACAGGCCTTGGTTAGACACGGGGTTGGATCAATCCTAATAGATTGGGTCCTCTCTACTCTGGAGGGTCGGGTAACAACAGCTATGCCGAATAACGTAAGCTGCAGCGTGAACGTAGCTAGAGGCTGCCCTCAGGGCGGAGTTCTGTCACCCCTACTGTGGTGTATCGTGGTGAACGAACTGCTCGTTAGGCTCAGCAGTATGGGTGTCTACGCGCAAGCCTATGCTGATGACGTAAGCATAGTGGTTAGGGGGCGTTTCTGTAGAACAGTCTCGGAAATTATGCAGGGCGCTCTGCGCTCCGTGGAATCGTGGTGTAGGGAAGTCGATCTTTCTGTTAATGCTGAAAAGACCGAGCTGATCCTATTCACTAGGAGAAGAAGGCTTGACGAACTGGTCATGCCGACCTTCTTTGGTACTAGATTAGTTTTGTCCCAGTCAGTGAAATATCTGGGAATTATCCTGGACTGCAAACTGAACTGGAGAGAGCATGTGGAACACAAGGTTAGCAAGGCTCGCAATTCGATGTGGGCTTGTAGACGTGTTGTTGGTGTAAACTCAAAGTGGTATACTGGCTCTACACGACGATAGTACGTCCATCTCTCTTGTACGGCTCCCTGGTCTGGTGGCCTTGCATTAGAACTGAGTCAACTAAGGCCAAACTCAATAAAATTCAGCGTTTGGCCTGTATTAGCATTACAAGCGCAGTGCGAACAACACCATTGAGTGCAATGGAAGCTCTGTTGGATCTCCCACCGTTGGATCTGGTGATCCGCGGTGAAGCGAGAGTAGTCGCTCATCGACTGTGGAGTCAGGGCAGCTGGGCTTTCTTGAATCCGGTCAAGGGGCATACTGCCATCTTAGTCGAATTAGAAAGGGAGGACCCCGTCCTTCTAAGCAGGGGTGATCGTATTACCCCTAAATATCGCTTCAACCGCAAGTTTATTGTGGAGTACCCAACGAGGGAGGAGTGGGACGCCGGTAGCTGAGGACTCTCCGAAGTGAGCGGGCAGGTCTGGTACACGGACGGCTCGGTCACCGAAGAGGGCTCAGGTGCTGGGGTCTCTGGACCTAGAACTAGGCTATCCTGCCTCTCGGTGAGTACACCACCATTTTCCAGGCGGAAATCTTTGCGATTCTGGCTTGTGTATCTCACATTCTGGAGGAGGGTGGGCCTAGGAGAAGAATAACAATCTTATCCGACAGCCAGGCTGCAATGAAAGCACTAAGTGCATGTAAGATTACTTCGAGTCTTGTATTGCAATGCAGGGAGGCTCTGGATTGCCTCGCAGCGAGCAAGCTCGTTGGTCCTGAGCCAGCTCTAGGAGTAACCGCGCATAAAGCTAGGAGGAAAATGGAGACGTGGGTTGCAAGACAACACTCTCAGAAATGGAGAAGTATCTCTAGACATCTCCGCCAGGCACGAGAGCTCATTGAAGGGCCCAGTGCTAAGGATGGACGCTTCTGCCTATCTCTGGGTAGAGCCAACCTAAGGTTGCTGGTGGGACTGTTGTCTGGCCATAACACGTTAAGGCGGCACCTGCACGTGATGGGGGTGGCTGAGGATCCCTTGTGCGAACGCTGCGGAGTAGAGGAAGAGACCTCGGCGCACGTTTTGTGTCGCTGTGAAGCTCTGAGCTGCTATAGGCAGACTATACTGGGGTCCATTACTTTGGACCCTCAGGACGTAAAGGAGCTTGGACTCAAGGTGATTCTCAACTTCGCTAAAAGGGCGAGGCTTGTGATTTAAGTATTGTAGAGGTGCATAAGGGCCCGCTTAAGCGGCCTATGCACTGGCTCCTTATGGTGGCCGGGATGCCTCTAAAATTCAAGATTCATTCATTCATTCTAGATAAAAAAGGTACTCTTATTGAATATCGATAAATTGTGCCATTTTTGAATAAAATCAAACTAAAAAATTTGTCACGTGACAGGAAATGTACTGCGAATTTAAATGAATTGTTCATTATACATAGTTAACTATGACTGCAAACAAAAGTTGTTTTGATTTTTTATGACTTATTTTGACGTTAAGCTGACATTGTTAGCAGTGTAAAATTACTAGATTAAAATCAAAATTTTTATTAAATTGATTTAAAATGCCAAGATTTACAGATAGAGAACTGACTGACATGCATTTTGTGAAACTGTCTAGAATTGTTAATATTTTTAAATCCAGCATAAAAAATTAGGCTAGAATACCAAATTTTATGTCTTTATCTCAACACGTTCGGAAATATTAAGGAAAAACCATCTTCATTGGAGCCCCTTTAAAAGACCGTAGCGCCCTTAGCGGACGTTTGTCGACCTATATTTATATAAACTTTCCTTCCTATTTTAAGCTCTAGAAACAGCTGGTATAATATTGCACACTTTTTTCGGGACCCACTGTATATCACAACTAGGTAGGTAAATTAACAATTTAGAATTAAAGACAAAGTTTTTCTATGACGTACGATCCCACTGACTGGTGCTAAATGTTCTTGCTGGTATCCATGATTATTATTTTTTGCCGTGATTTTTTTGATATGCATATTCGATCCAGGATTCAGGTGTTAGAAACCCTTTCTGGCAGGCGATCAATAGTGATATTACTAGTTATCATACTAATCTATGACCATTGCAGATCGCAGACGAATGAAACGTTATGGATAAAAGAGGAGAAGGATTCATATGAGTGTGAACAGTGTGATAAGCAATTCGAGGAAAATCTAGCCTTAGATAAACAAATGATAAGTGACGAAATGATGTCCTCGATGAATATGACATTTGCGTGCGATTTTTGCACGAATACTTTTGAATCTGAGAGTGCTCTGGACTTGCACAGGAAAATACATCAGAAAGAACGTGTTGCCGAGTGTGAGGTACAGTACTGACTTAGATAAATGGCCAGGCTCAGCAATTTTTATGTCCAAAACGGACGCAGGAAAGTAAACGCATATTAAAACAAGAAAGATTGATATTCAAATCAAGTTGGGTACTTTATTTTGAAGGTTCATTTATACCATTTATGTATGAAAAATAATATCGCTCAAATGTTCACCACGACTGGATTTACAGACGTCCACGCGATGGTCGAAATTTTCAATGACATTTTGCAACATGGTCGGTTCTATGGCATTTATCTCGGCAATGATTTTGTTTTTGAGTTCTTGGAGGGTGGCTGGTTTGTTGACGTAGACTTTGCTTTTCAAATATCCCTATAAAAAGAAGTCCAAAGGAGTCAAATCGCACGATCTTGGTGGCCATGGCACATTTCCTCTGCGCGAAATCACGCGATCACCGAAGAAGGACTGCAATCGATGGATATTGACGTTGGTTGTGTGGCATGTTGCACCGTCTTGTTGGAAATAAACATCGTCCATATCCATTCCTTCAAGTTGCAGCAAAAAATAGTCCTCTATCATCACGTGATATCGCTCAGAATTGACGGTAACGGCGTCCCCGGCCGCATTTTCGAAAAAGTAAGGTCCGATGATGCCTTTTGACCACAATGCACACCACACAGT